AGATGAGCCAGGCCCAGCACAGCCCCCCCCGCCAAGCCCCACAGCAGAGGGTAGAAGAGGAGGTGCCGAAAGGAGGTGCTCGAGGCGGAGGCCGGGGCCCGGGAGGCCAGCCAGCACAGCAGGCAGGAAGAGGCCAGGAGGGCACAGCCGGCCACCATGCAGACGGGCTGGAAGCGGGCCCAGGACTCTGCGCACACGGCCCGGGCCTCCCGCAGGTATCGCCGGAAGCGGCTCCGCAGGAGCTCCACCTCGGACAGTGCCAGAGGGCCAGCCTGGGCCAGGAGCCTCTCGTAGTCCTCCACGGCGGAGGAGAACTGATCCTGGAGACGCTGCAGCTTCTCTGCCGGGAGGTCCTGGGCAGCCAGCGCGTAGGAGTGCAGGAAGCGGCTGACCTGGGAAGGCAAAAGCACACGGGCGTCACTGGGTGCCCTCGGCCAAAGGCGCACCCCCCTCCCCCCTCAGGACACCAGCCCAAGGACAGGTCAGCTGGTATTCAAGGAAAAGAGGAAGAGCGAGAGTCAGCCTTTATACCCTGCTTTTTTCTACCTTAGGGATTCTCAAAGCAGCTTTCCCTTCCTCACCTCACAACAGGCACCCTGTGAGGCAGGCGGGGATGAGAGAGCTCTGAGAGAATCGGGGCTGGCCCAAGGTCACCAAGCAGGATTCAGGGGGAGGAGGAGGAGGAGGAGGAATCTAACCCGGTTCCCCAGGTTAGAATCCGCCACTCTTAACCACTACACCAAACTGGCTGTCGGTGGAAAGAAACCCCAAGTTCAAAAGAAGAAGAAGAGACTGGATTTATACCCCGCCCTTCACTACCCAAAGGGGGCTCAGAGCGGCCTTTCCCTCCCCCTCCCCACAACAGACACCCTGTGAGGTCGGTGGAGCTGAGAGAGCTCTTGACAGAAACTGCTCTTTTTCAAGGACAGCTCTTGTCGGAACTATGGTTTGCCCAAGGCCATCCAGCCAGGTGCGAGTGGAGGAGTGGGGAATCAAGACCGCTTCTCCCAGATTAGAGTCTGTGCACTTAACCACCACACCAAACTGGCTCTCCTCAAAAGGAGAGGAAGAGATGCTTCAACAAGATCTTTCTCTGACCTGATCCCAAAGCAGTCGTGCGCCTGAGAAAAGAGAGTGTGTCACACCAGATGGAGGGATTCTAAGAGGCCCCCAAAAGGGCCGGGGGGGGTGTGTGTGAGCTGGTCTCACCTGCCAGGCATTGATGCTGTACGCGGCCAGCTGGGCGAGGCCGGAGGAGGCGGCGTTCCCTTCCACCGCAAAGAGGTCTGCCATCACTTCCCCGATGTTGTTGTAAGGGATCGGCACGCCCAGCAGCAAGGCCAG